ATGACGGTTTCTTGGAGCGCTTTTGTGCTGTCTTGGGGTTCTCTGGGACGTTTCCGATGACCCCCCTGATCGCCCAAGGTGTGCTGCGAAGGCTTGGCAAAACGCCCTGCGAGGCCCGGGAGGCCGCTCCGAGGCCCGTCCGAAGGGTCCCAAATCCCCAGATCCCGGGAGTCCGGTTTGGGGGGGGGATGATGGGTTTTCCCCCCGCCCGGGCTTGTAAAAAAATAGGAAGAGGAATAGATGTGAAAAATGGTTGTTGTTTCCTCGCCCTTTCGCTCCCGATGGCCTGCCGAAGCCTCAAGATGGCTCCAAGATGTCCCTGTCCCAAAAGGGCACCAAGAAAGGCCCACGACGGCCCCAAGAGCGCCCAAGAGCGTTCCAAGAGCGCCCCAAGAGCGCCCCAAGAGGGCCCAAAGTGGCGATGCTCGAGGCTCTAGAGGGGCGCCGTTAGTTGAGGACCCCGCCCCAACTTTCATCGATGCCCTACAAAATGTCTTCAAGGGGGCCTCCAGGGTTCCGCAGAAAGCCCCAACAAGCCCCCAAGAGGTGCCTAAACGGCCCCAAGAGGCCTCAAAAGGCACAACCCCAGCGGCACCCAAGACGCCCCAAAGGGCTCCCGAGACCGCCAAGAGGCATCAAAGACGGCCTAGGCCTCCGGGGAAGCCCCTGGGCAACCAAGAGGCCTCTGGCCTTCTGCTCGCCCTCCTCCTCCTCCTCCTCCTCCTCCTCCTCCTCCTCCTCCTCCTCCTCCTCCTCCTCCTCCTCCCCCTCCTCCTCTCCTCCTCCTCCTCCTCCTCCTCTCCTCCTCCTCCTCCTACCTCCTCCTCCTCCTCCTCCTCCTTCCTCCTCCTCCTCCTCCTCCTCTCCTCCTCCTCCTCCTCCTCCTCCTCCCCTCCCCCTCCTCCTCTCCTACCTCCTCCTCCTCCTCCTCCTCCTCCTCCTCCTCCTCCTCCTCCTCCTCCTCCTCCTCCTCCTCCTCCGTCCTCCTCCTCCTCCTCCTCCCCCTGCCTCCTCCTCCTCCCCTCCTCCTCCCAATCCTCCTCCTCCTCCTCCTCCTCCTCCTCCTCCTCCTCCTCCTCCCTCCTCCTCCCCTCCTCCTCCTCCTCCTCCTCCTCATCCATCCTCCCCCTCCTCCTCCTCGTCTACCTGCTGCTCCCTATCTGCCTATTCCTTCTCTGTCTACTTCCTCCTCCTCCTCCTCATCATCATCATCATCATCATCATCATCATCATCATCATCATCATCATCATCATCATCATCATCATCATCATCATCATCATCATCATCATCATCATCATCAGCATCATCATCATCATCCCGCTGCTCCTCCTCCTCCTCCTCCTCCACCTCTTCTGTGGATCCGTCTTTCCTCCTCATTCGACAGATAACGGCTGCCCCCATAACGGCTGCCCCCATAACGGCTGCGTCCCCTGTCAACCCAACTTTCCTGGGCATCGTTTCTGGATCGGCTGATGGGGACACTTTCGATCGCGACCGCAAGCGGGCACCCGCACGGCGTCAGGAAGTCGCGTGAAGAGCGCAAGCCAGGCTGCCACAGGCGGCACGCAGGAAAAGGGCCACAACGGTGGCGAGAACTACGCGGCAGGGGCGAGAACGAACAAGAGACACAAGGGAAGAGAGCGAGGCGACGAGAGACGGCGAACGAACAAACAGAGGAGAAAAGAAAGCGACGACGAGACACGAGGAAGAGAACGAAAGGGCAGAGGCCGCAGCTCAGCCGTGGAACAAGTAGTAGTTGTCCGCGCCTTGCAGAACTCCCAAACCTTTGTGTAAGTCCGCATCAGGTAACGAGCAGACCCGGGACGCGGTGCCACGGGCGAGGAGCGACCAACGGCAATGAAACGGGTAGTGCAGGTGCGCCCTTGCTGAAGGTCGTGCAGTACCCCGGGCCAGCTCCAGGGCCGGGCAGGGGCGGGAATATAAAAGGAGCCTCCAATCCCTCGTGCCCCGGGGTGAGCATGGGGCAAGGGGCGCCCGTTCGACCATTCCTGAGGAAGATTTGCACGGGAACGTAACAATGATATTGCTTTATAACGGGCCTGTGCGAATGCTCCACTCGTCAGCATGTGAGCCAAACAGAATCGACAACGACAACTGCTCGGTTAACTATACCACCACACTCCTCATCCATTCACCTGCGCCTCCTCCTGATCCTCCTCCTCCTCCTCCTCCTCGTCCTCGTACTCCCCATCCTCCTCAACATCATCATCATCATCATCATCATCATCATCATCATCATCATCATCATCATCATCATCATCATCATCATACCATCATCATCAGCAGCATCATCAGCATCATCATCAGCATCATCATCACCACCATCACCATGACAATCATCAACACCATCACCATCACCATCATCGTCAATGACACCATCAGCATCGTCATCATCATCATCAGCATCATCATCAGCATCATGATCATCATCAGCAGCAGCATCAGCATCATCACCGTCATCAGCATCAACATCATCAT